TTTTTTTTTAATTGCCTCCCTTTTTTTTTTTTTTTTTTTTTGACATCCTCCTTTCGAGGGAGTAGATGTCGCGGATGTTTGTGCGCCTCTCCGAGAAGTTTTAATGGAACAATCAGTCTTTGGCACGTGTTAGGACTGATGATTCGCCTGAACAGAGATCAATATTAACACTGAAACTAGTGACGATCAAAATGCAAAAATAATTACATCCGAGTGCAAAGAGTTAGGGAAAGGTTCGCGAAAGAATTTTTTTATTTGTACGCTTTATATACAAAAGAAGTCATGATCGTTCAAGTTTCCAAAAGATGCAACACTTTAGAAAAATCCGCCAAGTTATTAATCGCTTCGACCACCATGCTAGTTCCAGTGTTAATTTTGACAAAAAACGTTTTTTGACACGTTTTGTTTCTTGAACAACAGTTCTAGTATCAAATGTAGGGAATAAATGAGAATGGATATGATTCATTTCGAGAGGTTAAACATCGAAGTTTGTAGAGGAGAAAGAAAGCACAGTTAATTTGAAGTTTCGCATAGATAGTTTGAATTTTTATTAATGTGGAAACTTTTGTTCAATTGGTAGAGGTGATCGACATTTTTTTAATGAAACTTACTAATTGGAGTAATTTATGTGACACGCCTTGACCTCAAGTATGTTGCAAGGATATACGTTGAGTAGTTGAGAAATAATTGCATTAATTTTCGCGAGTAACTTTTGCAGTTTAAGATGCAAGATGTCTGTGTAAGATACATATCATTCTAATTAATTCGTAACTTCACTGTTATACATAGTAAACTCGTAACCTAACTTTGTCATACAATACGTACGTAAAAATGTGAAGATGTAACGTTCGTACGAATATAATTCAGATTTAATTTCTTATCTCAAGTGGTTCTGTGTCTGTGAAATCATGTGAGTTCGCACAAAAATCCGCAATCTACTTGTAAGACTTGTTCTACTCTAACCCTCTTTTTACTTCTCTTTTTATCTCTTCGATGTGCTCAATTTCTTTGATATTTTCGTCCACTTGTATTTTCCACGATAAATAATTCTCTCTCTAAACTTCGTTTAATTTCGTCGTCGCGGAAACAAAATAACTTGCCATCCAGTATATCGTATACGTATTATAGTATTCTTATACGATTATGCAATGCATGTTTTTTTACATTCGAAACGTGCCATTTGTGTATTTTTTCTCGATAGTGTTTCGCACAGTACAAAACTAATGCACTCGCCGTTAGCGTTTACCTATCTTATCGCAAATTAGAAAAAGAGAAAAAACGAAAAGAAAAACTAGAATAACATTCCTCGATCACGTGCACGAGTAATGAAAGAATATCCCGCCGGACGTAATAACGCAGCCGGTGGATCTCATGATTTTTCTGTTGACAAACGTTTCCTATATACAAAGAGAGAGCAGCAGCTGAAACGTAACGTATGTACATACGTGTGCCACGTACGTAGGAATTTGCAGCGGAGGAATCACGAAGATTTGTATGCTTAATCTACCTAAGTCGTTTATTTGAATTCTCAGGGTTGGGGGAGGGAGGACGCAACAGCTGCGTCGCGTCTGAAAGCTCGCTGCAGGGTTTGTTTCCGCGTGTTTGCTTATTTTTCGCCGCAGTCTTAATTACCGAAAGATAGAGCCATTCATTTTTCTCGAATACGATTTCGCGGCGTGCCGTTCTTCCTTTCCTTTTCTTCCTTTCTCTCTTTCTCTCTCTCTCTCTCTCTTTTTTCTTTTTTCTTTTTACCTCTTTCTCTCAGCGAGCTTAACACGTTCATCCAACGTGTTTCCCCCTTGATTTTTATTCCCCATCTTCATTCCGCCCTTTAACGCGCTGGGAAGAAAGCGCTTTGTCGTCTCGTCTCGCTTTGTAAATTCTTTCTCTTATTAAAACCGAAAACAGCACGCGTAGCGGTCACCGGTTTCCTATAACTCTCTCTTTCTCTCTCTCTCTCTCTCTCTCTCTTCCTCCACCTCCCTTTCTCTTTCTCTCTGGCTCTTTCTACTCATTTCACCGCAGCTAATTTTTGTTTGATTGCGAGGCGAGGAGAGAGAGAGAGAGAAAGAGAAAAAAGAAGGAATACAGGGGTTGAAAAAGGTCGAAGGTGTGCAACCTTGGCGTCAACCCGCTTTTTAGGTTTATTTTTCAAATGGCCAACGCCAGGATAACGATGTCCTTTGACTGTGGCAAACCCTATGACGTTAGCCGCGTCGCTAATTAGTCGATATTCACTTTGTGGCGGCGAGTCTGCCAGTTTCCGAAGGGACACCGATTCCGCAAAACTGCGCCCAAGCGGTTTCGAATTCAGGATCATTTATTTTCATCGCGTGGATTTTTATGCAAATTTCGCTGGGGGCGGGTTCTCTTCTAATCGAAATATTTCACAAAGTTGACTCCAGTAACGTGATATTTGATCAGCACATAAGTGTTGATATATATATTGTCTCGCAAACTACAATATGTTACGTTAGGTTTGCATTGTGATATGAATAGGCATTAGTTTCTTTCATTACTCGTCGCGAACGAACGAGGCAAGTTATTCTAGTGGTTTCGGTTTTTCGAATTATATAATCGCAGAATCCGCGAACAATGATTAATAATTTAGGAAATTTAGTTAGCGACGGGTAAAAAAATGTTGCAATAAGTTTTGATCTCTCGAAACAAAGTGAATTCAGTATTTTCGCTGGATTAAATAACATTCTTCTAATATTAAAAATACCTGTGTATTATTAAAATTTCTCACAGTCTTCTTCTCTCGCGATTAAATAATATCACATATTGCATATGTACAGCGACGGATAAAAGAATATTTGCGGATAAGAAAAATAAGTCTTGCATTTTGCATTTTCTCTCACGAATTACAATTCGATTCTGCAAAATCACCGCGTTTTCCCTTGTTTTCCTCTTTAAACACATTGTGCGCCTTACATATATGTACTTTACCTCTGGCAAATAAATAATTTTCGTTCGAACGCGGCAAATGTTCGAATGTATTTAACCAAAAAAACAAACAAACATTTGAAACCATTTGGGCTGTTTGAAATCTACTGAAATCGGTGATTTCAATCAGATTCTCTTGCGCGAAAGATTTCAGTGTTCGAGTATTTGTGTATCCCTACATATTCTCGAAAAAAGAAAAAAAAAGATAGAGAACCTTTTACACAGAGTTCGTACTTCCGTTACGAACTTACAAAAATTTCGCGATCACGTGTCAGCGGCGTGATGGCGAAATCATGGCGAGCACGCGTGCAAGACTTTTTTTTTTTTCCTCCAACCGGCGGAAATTAATTGCGTAATCTACATACACAGAGAGTTGGAGAATTTGCGGGGAAAATCGTGAAATGATCAGCAAATAATTTGATCGCGCGTCTGTGAGGTATCGGTGTGTATTTTAAACTCAACGGTGCATCGTAAATGCTCGCACAGCCGTTCGCCCTTTTTGGTAGCCGGGGCAGCTCGAGAAGGGGGTGAAACACGGTGGGAGGGGAGAGGGGGGGGAGAGGAAGGGTTTCAGCGTATCAATACCTACGCATGAAATATGTTCATAATCACGATTGACAGGGAATCATGGTAAATAGTCATTTGCTACTCCATTCGCGAATTTACATTATGCGTCTATTTGGATCTGACGGCGCAGAAAAATCTGCAATTAATATTAGTATGCTGCCTACGTACAACTATACGCGTAATCATCGACCTTTTGGTTACGCCGATGATTTATCATATTATACTGCCAACCCGTTATTTGAACTTAGCGTCGTAATTGCAGGAAATTTCGTTTCGTTACGTATCTCTGCTTTCTTTTTTTTTTTCTTTTTTTCTTTTTTTTTTTTTTTTCTTACAAATAAAATACTTCGCTTCTCGATAGTTACGATAGTTGTTAACCCAGAGTTAAAAAGTTAATGGTTATCAGTGATGGAACTTGATCTCTTTCGTTCTGTTAAACGTTACAGCACTTCGAATTTCCTACGAACGCGCGAAAAATCGACGATAGTCTAGTCGAGTTTTCCATCGTTCTCGTTTTTCCATTGAATCGAAACGACGAGATTTAACCGCACGTGTACGTGAAACATAAACGCGATTTACAAACATGGGAATAGGCTGGACGGTATCGGTAAATTACATTTTTCTGTCGAGAGCGGGCAAGGAGTCGTTCGTGCGAAAAGAAGCGATTTTTCGGATTTTTCTGCCGATACCAAATCGATTATGGTGTGATCGCGGAACAGAGACAAAAGGGTGGATGAGGGGCGGGATAGGTCGGAAAAAAAAGCGAAAAGGTAGGGTAAGAGAGATATGAAATATGAGTGCGGAAATGCAGATATTTGTCAGGAAATTGATAACTCGAATAAACTCGTCGCAAAACGTTCAAACAGTCTGCCAAACGGGACGATTTTACCTCTTCTCCCGGCGGCAAACCAAACTATACGTGCGCACACAGACGCGCACGCACGCACGCACGCACGCACGTACGCACGTGGGTACAGACGTATTACGACGCGATTCGGTATGAAATTTACGCGTCTCGCTGATATATACTACTCGGACAGCTGATTGTAAACGAATTTTATAGCCGTTTGTATTTTTCGTTAATTCCGTTGGCGCAACTTTTGCAGAAATGTGTGGCATTACGCTGATTGCGCGTAGATTGCCCCGTAACTTGGGCATAACTGTGTTTTTCATCCGTGCCCCGA